AATAATAGTGTAGTATATAAATATACAAACTAAATAAAATATTAAACTTTTTTGCTGTTTATATAAAAAATGTTCCAAGTTAGAGAAAGTATTTTAAAATTGAGTAAATTATACAAGAGGTTTGATGTGGTTAGAGCAGTTTTAGGATAGGTTACATTATGTATGTTACTTTAAGCGAACGCCACATCACATGTTTAATAAAAGGCAAGGTCCGAGGTTAAACATAACATATAGCCAATATTATTTAATTCTTCATATACATTTATAAGGCAATCTCTTATTTTTTAAATTATTTTATTAACGTAGAAATACAAACAACGAAAAATAAATTGGAAGGTATGTTTAGACGGTTTTTTACCGAGAAACACAGTAATAACAAACAAGGTTTGTCATTAATTAAACTTGTTTGCCATTAATTTATGCCCTGCTACATTTTTTTTCTTAGTTTTGCGAAGCCGGAACCCAATAACTTCTTAGTAATTTTTGGAACACCTTATTTTGTTACAACTGTTACTGCTTGCGGGTCGCTTATATAATATATTTTTCGTCTTAGTACAAGGGCAATGAGGTGTTTGCTTTTGATTTCGACCTTCTAGCAAATCCTAGAGGAACAACATTAGACAGCGCGTTTGACATTCCATTGCGGAGTAATAAACGTCTTACATAAATTTCTCTAATCGAATAGTACAAACGCTTGTGCGATTTGGCGCATTCCTCCATTACACGCCGGTAGAACAACTCCTCGTGTAGAATCACCACCACGGTAACTGAAACGATTAAAACAATTTATTGGTTTTTAATGTGCCCCGTTGATTCTGTTTAAAAATTACAACCGATTAATGCAGCGGATAGTACGTAGATCAGCCTGTTGGTCATCGACGAACTAATGTTTCTACTGTAAAACAATATTAATGAACGACAATTAAAATGAATTTCTTGTTTTATATTAATTAAAATTAAAAACACTATTTCCTTCTCGATTTTCACCGTCCCGGTTTATAAAATCGTCATTATCGTTGATGCGAGTTGTGGATTAGTTCGCTTATTGTTTTTAAATTAATCATAAATTAGAAGCGTTTCTAGAATGAACAACAAATTGGGTAATTAAGCTACACGTTACACAAAGAGAAATCATATTATTATAATCTCCCTTATTTTGATTACAACCAGTCAAACTTATTCATACATTAAATTTTATTGCGTTTCCTTTATTACACAACCAAAATTACAATTTGCCTATTTATGTACATTCTATATATATATATATATTTTAGGTTATTCCTTATTTTTCAAACTCAACAATTGTTGGGACTTACCCTCAAAATATGTGTCTATATTTAATAAAATCACCTACAAAAAATGTTGAGTCAATCGGTCAATTTTAACCCGTGCCAATGTTGAATTGAAATTAAACTAGTTCAATTTTTTTCAGTAAAACTCAAGTTAATAGGGTTTTTAATTTTTAATACATAAGGGATGGGTTATATATTTAAAAAAGTATATTAATTTATCCAAACTAATAAATATAGAAGCATAAAAAAAAAAATGTTAAGTCTAAAATCTTCTAAAATATTGACTGGGTCATAGTTAACCAATCACCGGATACTAAATAGTAAATACCTATACTTTTTTACCGACTGTAGTTAATCTATTATTAAACTCAAAAGTACTCACAATTATATTATTTATCTTGATAATCCGCAAATGGGATTAATTTTGTCAGTTATCAATATATCGAAAATAGGCGATCTAATTGAAATAATGAAAATCGCATACAGTATAAAATTGAATATGCGACCAATGCGGTACCATAACTTGTTCGATTTCGGAATACCAAGACGTTTCGATTCTATCAACAGCCCAGTATTGTTATCGGTCAAAAATATAGAATTATATAACAATATCATAGTCACAAAATTATGTATATTATGAAAATACAAGTACAAAATACGGACTACAAACACGGAAACTAGGGAAATTAAACACTACACACGGACGCTATAATAAAATATATGGTTGTATAACATAACGGTTAATATATTATATTTATAATGTGTCGAGGGAAAAAATGAATAGCTTGTTATAGACGCATGTCACATAAACTAGGACAACAAAATAATGTATTATTATGTGTTTTGCGGACGAGTGACGGTGCCGAACACTGTATCTTGCTGCCAATGAATACGTTTTACACCTATTACATCTAAAATTTACGGTTTGTGTATGGCGTTTACGGCGGTCTGTTAAATGGCGAGGAAATAAAAAAACATTTTAATGAAAGGGTACGGACCATAGTACACGCGTGTGGCCTAATCTCCGCCCGTTCAGTTCCATTGTTAGTTAGTGTTATCGCTATACTCTGTTGTTCGTGACTTTTCCACTTTAGTTCTTTCCAAATTTATAGGGAACGCGTTTAAAATTCTACTCCCATCGTTTGGTAATTATCTTTTCAACATTATTCCACATTAATAATATGTTATTTGTATAGGCGGCCACCACCTTACTTATACTTATAGGTTAATACCTATTACCTATACAGGTACATATACAATACATAATAAAAATATGCAACCTTAATAACGTTGAAAAAAAAACTAATACCCCGTCACTTGCGGGTTTTTTTTTTTGTTATAAAAACTTTTTTTTCTTTGATATCATCTTAACGTTTTTTATACACGCCGGGCTGCACGAACGTTTTCTTAATGGCGGAGGTTTAATGAATCTTTAAATCACTATAGTGATCAATTACTAGTGATCCATTGAATGTTTATGAATCGCTATATCTATCAAATCTTTATAATACGGAATAACCGAAATAATAAGTAATCTGTTAACAGATTTTTACGCGTAATGAAGGTAGTTTTTCAAGAAAACGATTTTTAAAACATTAATAGTTTTTTTGTTGCTATACGTTTGTTGGGTGGTAATCCGCGGACTTGCTGTACGGAAAGTAAACCCGTATGTATACCTAAAACCAATATCGACTTGGAAGTCAATAAAATGTGCTTATGTAAAAGGTACAAGCATTATTCAACGACACGGGAATGTATTTAACTTTAATATATTCATTCGCCATTTCAATCAGACTTTATACTTATGTGTTATGTGCTACTGGAAAACAACCAATACATTTCAATATTGAATTTGTCGGGAATACTATTCTTTAAGTTAGAAAACAATACGCTTCGTAGCTGATTATATTACAAAAAATATAGGTAAATAAATAAATGTTATGTATTAAGGTTACAAGTAAATTAATAGCCTGTAGATACAGTTATCTGTTTGAAAATGCTGGAAATACAAAATGGCGTTGAAATTGTATTGTTGGTTTAGAAATTGTTTAAAAGCTCTTTATGGTGTATAACTCGGATGTTATGCGGGCTGCGGCGTACCATCGGAAACCTTGTTTGTTCTCTGCGAAACAATTAGGTTTAATAATGACAGTAAAAAAGTTTAATAGATGATAATTTATTATAAGTATAATTACAATACAGCGTATTACACTTTTAAACTAAATACCTACATAATCCTTCGAAAATTTTTCCTTAGTTTGTTTTAGAAAATAAGTTTTAGTTGTATTTTTCAAATCTATATTTTCATTTTTATTGTTTATTTCATGATAATTTAAAATATAAGTTATTATTAATATATATATTGTGATATTTTAAAATATGTTAATTTAAATATTAATATTTTAAATAAATTGGGTACATTTTGTATTAAGCTTCCCGGCTAGTATAAAACTACATAAAGTTTTAATGAATACTAAAAAATATCTTCTAACACATTTTTCTTAAAATAATTAAATAGATAAAAATCGAATATCTATAAACCATTAAACGTATACTTTTCAGTTGTATTTAACATTTTTGTAATAATTAACATTAGTTAATTTTAAGCATACATTTCATCACATTAATAATGCCATTTGTCATTTATTATTTTAATAAAATTAAGGCTAACATTAATACTGGAGAAACAAACTAATATATATTAAATATAATTTATGAAAAAAAGTTTTCCGATATTATAGTATAATATTATTAAAAATTTATGATATTTTTTAAGCAAATAGTATAATTAACGATTTTTTTTTTATCTTTGATTGAATGGGTCATATCAAAAATGACATATGTCATAAAAATTGAAATTTTACACATATTATGAATAACCTAATTACTCCAGATATTTAATTTATTTTGCACTTTTACTTTCAGTTATACATTTATTTTTAAGACACGTGATTCATATTTCATTGTTATTATAAACTTTGACCATATTTAGTTAAACTAACACAAGACGTCATGTTGTTTTCCCAAAGAACTAATATTTTTTAATTTAGGTCAAAAATAAAATACAATAGTGTAAAAAGTATACATATACATAAATTAAAAAACATTTTACAAAAATTTGTGACTACGTATATAAGTGTTGAATTTGATAAAAAGTATTTTTTGTAGAAACAGTGACTTATGTCTTACTTGAAATGACTTATGCAATTATAATAATTTATATTATATAGAAGAAAAGCATATTATAAAATATAACGTAAAACAAATAATTGTACAAATACTGCATGTATATAATGTTATTGTTATTAAGTTGAACACGGGTAAAGTCAGAGGCGGCTTTACTGTAGCAAAGGTATTGCTTAAGTAGTCTTTTCCAAGGATAGGAAAAAATGGTTCTGGTACTTTACAACGGTATCATTTTTAAAAGTATAATAAGAATTTATTTTTTTAATGGACTATTTTCTCTATGCCTTTATGAGGCTTATTATGAAATTTTAACGCCAAAATTTGACATGGTCATACTAGAGAGTTATTTAAATAATAGAAAAATGTGTGTTTTTTCATAAAATTGCTACTTCAAAGAGTTTTACTCAAAACTACACATATTTCAAAATGATGTCAGATTGCATAGGCTGCGTAAATAATGAAATTCCTTAGAACAAACCATTTTTTCTGGTTGTGAGAAACTGTATTTTAGATATACAGCTTACTTCTGGTTAAATGTTAATTTAATAAGAATGATGGATAAGTAAACACTTTATTTTAAATAGGTAATATATTAAATATATAAGTTAGACGAAATAAGTAGTATGTGCATACCGACCTCATTTGTGTTCTGTTGTGTGTAAGGGGGGTTTCTCGTATTAAAAAAAAATATGATTCATTGTGCAATGTTTTTAGTATAGCTGCCACTGGGTAAGAATGTTAGGTTAATAGGCTGAAGTATGGAATGTCATACGACTTTTTATTCTTGAATAACTATTATTAGATATTCATTTTTGAATTCTTCACATTTTCTATTGTGGTTGATTTTCCAATTCGTCTAAATGTTTTTGTCTCCTCCTCCGCGCTTCTTTGTACAATACCTGTGCTAATTTCAGCCTAGCTTTTTGCTTGGCGGGTAAGTGTTCCCTGCCACTTCCGCCAACAGGAGTTTCCGGTACAAGAGTGTTCGTTACAGTGTCACCCACTGCCTTAAAAGCATCCGGTTTGTGCCATTTGTCCAAAATCACCGCCATTCCGCCGGAACAGGAGCTCAAATCGGTACCCGAAAACGTGGAGGCGGTGGGCGAGGTTTTGCCCGATGAGTTCAGTAGAGGCGGCGTCGACGGCACTATCAGAGCGTTCGCCACGTGACCGGAAGTGCTCGGCACGGCGTTTTCGGCCGCAGTCGACAGCTCGTCCGTGCTTGCCGTCTTCACTCTGATCTCTGGCACTAATTCCGACTGATCCGAAGAGTCTGACTCGCTCCTGACGTGAGACTTGACTTTGGATTTCTTCCACTTGCGAAACACAGCCGCGTCTCTCGACTCCTCGTCCCTGGACTGTCGCCTTTCGCGGTGATGCTGGTGTTGACCGTGGTGCGGTTGATGGTGCCCGTGGTAATGGTGGCGATGGTGGCCGTTTTCGTCATCCTTTTCGCCCAACTCCCGGACGCCCGGCCGTTCCACCCGCACCAGCTTATCGAGAACCATGTCCATAATATCCTTTTCTGCGAAACAATTACAAAACAAAAAGTTACATTTGCTAACCAACAAGTCTATTCGATTTGAAATCCGATGGCCAAATTAGAATTTTGGACTTATAGGCGTGACTTAGAACCAATCGGTACATACGAAACCACCGTTATTCATCATTCAAATCTATGTCAGGATTAATACGTTTTTGGGGTTCCGAAACATATTCCAAAACCTGGGTTTTAAGCTTACTTAAGAGCTTAAGGTAATAAATTACTCTATCATCTTTACCCATTATTGTAGGATAGATGAATAGATTATAAATTATTACTATGACTGTCGGCTGATTATATTGAACTATTATGATATTATACCCAACACATTGTACGCAAAATTGTATCATAGTAATTTAGCGAATCAATATGTGTATTAATAACAACTATAAGTACTAAAATACAAAATAAAATAAAAACCAGGGGTCGGGGCATAATGGGGACGGGAAGGTCACAGTTCTACTGGAATTATTATAACTAAAAATGCCTAAATCACTTTTAAACAAACGCTTCGATGCGAATCCGTGGATGATCAAACCAGTACAGTCCAAACAAAGCACAGTATAAACCAGCACAGTAAGAAGTATTGTATGTAAGTGAGTAGTAGTATTCACAGATACAAATATTAATATCGATAAAAGCATTGTATCTAATGACAATTATGTGGTTGAAAACACATTTTTAGTACTAGGGTGATACGATTAGGGTTGATCGTCTGTCTATAAAAATGTATTGCCATAATTACCCATTAAAAAATAAATAAATATCGTAAAAAACAAAATAATGAATACATTTTTATTATCTTTTGACCGTTGGTTCACTCACATATAGCAACCGAGAAATTTACTACGGTCAAAGTGTGATTTTTCCATTCTTTGGCATTTTTCCTAAAAAAAAAAAAGTTTGACCACAGAGTTTTGAGAAAATTATACATATATATATATGTTATTTTTAGTGAAGGTATCGCTAAAATTCTCAGACCTAAATCCCTTTAATTTTGCTTAAAAAAGTGGAATAAAGAAAAAAAAATTATTTATTCTAGGGGAAAGGGTTTATGATAATATTTTGGTTTGACAATGTTTATCGGTAGTAATAAGTTTAAAAAATATTTCATACAAATTTGAAATGAATTTGACTATTTTTAAAAATGTTATAAAGCACCGTAATTTTGTGCTGAAAAATATCTACATTTTTTGGTGTTTTTCTCTATTTTAAAGAGGAAGGGATGAACTTTTTTAATTTTTGGTCCAATAAAGTACCTTACAGGAACGATTTCTGATTTATAGAGTTTCTACATGAAGAAATCGGTTTAGGAGTTTAAAAGATATCGTGGGTACGGACACAAAAAAAAAAAAAACAAAACACACCATTGTAAATACAATACCTTCTCAGCTCCGCATCGAAGCTAACAACATTATGAATAGGTAGGTACTTCTAAAAACTCGTATTTTAGTTTTTACCAAAACAATAATATTAGTAATTGTAATTACAATTAGTGCCTACTGCCTACGTACAACTAAGTACGAATTTGCTGGTTAATTAGCTGGTATAGTTTTAAAAATTTACTCGTCAGTGACAACAAAGGCTGTTAACCCGACAATAACTTGAAGGCATTAGACGGGAATACTCCTCATAAACATGCTTTCTCTGTACACATCTGATATTATACCCTTTAGGCATTGGCACACTTTTAAAACACGTGGTGTATCTGTAATACGATACATAATTGCGTACAAGGTGATCGGTAAGATATCGGAAGGAAATACTACTCATCGGTAACCCACGCGGACGTTATAATGCGATGTAACACGATAAGCATTTTCAGTAACTGTATTTTTTCTCTCGTGACAAAAACACTTGAAATTTCTTCATTTCAACATTCTTTCAAAATATTTACGTCAAACACGGTTTATGTCTTGTTAGAATGCTACTACCCGAGAATAAAAAATATAATCTATTATTTATAGTTCTGCATTATAATTTATTATAGGGTACCTTTTTTTTCAAGTAATCGCCAACCTGGGAGGGGACTGTTTGCACACCAATTCCATTCAACGTATTATTATTATAGGGTACCTAGGCTTTTGAATCACGACAACATCATAGCATTAATTTTCGACTATACAAATATATCATTATTTTGCATCTTTTACTTAATCTTGTAACGATTCTACTTATTATTTATACCGGTTCGAGCTTTTTCCTCACGATCCTTTGTTCCTCTCGTTCCGGAAAGTTTATTTTCGGGTATGATTTGTCTCCATTTTGCCAATGCCGTGTCCATGCTGTTGTAATCGTTATCGCCTAGCTTCTTGTTGGTAACCAGTTGGAACATTTTTCGTCTCTCTTCCGTCCGTTCTCGTCTCAACTGGATCTGTAAAATCATAATGATACTAATAGTGTTAATCTCATGTGATTGCAAAACGTTTTTACTACAGCCGTTAAATGGTTACATTCTGAGAAATCAAACGACAATAACTTACGACGGATCAAACGGACATTGTAACTAAAAACCCGAAAGTCAAACTAATTAATGTATAGTGGCTTAACGTTATTGTTTACTTTGATCAAACAACTTTGCGAAAAATAACTTTTAGAATGACAACGGCCAAATTGTCATTTTTTTTTTTAAGTGACCGTTTATAATAGCAAGCTTTGCTATACTTGCTAAAGCAACCCTTTTATCATCAACGAGGAGATAATAACAAACCCCAGAACCAAAATTACGCTGTTTGTTTTTTCGGGACGTTTGAAAGTAACATTACAAAAAAGCACTTTTTTGGACGTTACGATTATAGTCTATCGTGGTATCTTGATACCGTCTAAAGTTTGTTTAGATTGTTAACAAAAAATATAGGGATAAAAAAAACTGTTAAGCTTACTTTACTGCTGTGATTTTTGAAAGCAATCACAGAAATGTGTTTAAACAACATAATTTTACCGAACGCCTACATCTTTATTCCAAGACTATTGCCGAGGGTCAAAACAACTAGCCTGTTTATGTTTTATTTGATCATTTTAAAATTTAAATCAATATTGCGCTGTTAAAAACGCATTGAACTCACCTTTAAGTCGTTATTGGCTTCCCTCAATGACGAAGTCAACGAAGCTAAATAGTATATTATCAGAATCAATAACAACAGCAAAGGAATGATCATGGCGGGCGACGCAATATAGTCGAGCACGCGATGCACCATGGGATTGGGAACGGCCTTCTTAATGGAGTTGGTGAATATGTGATAGATCTTCTTATACTGCGAGAAGGGACCGCAATGCCACGACGGCTCGATCCACACTATAGCATAGCCGACCGGCAGCACACACAAGAACAGCATGGTCAGCAACAGGCCTAAGTAAAAATTGTTGCTGCGGCTGGCTCGGAACACCACATCGTGGGGTACGTTGCAAGTGAGTACCGCCCAGGATCGGACATACATCATGATCATCAACTTGAACACGTTAATGATGGGTAGGCCGGGCGAGAAGAACATACCCATCCACACCATACCTTGGTTGTTGACCAGGTGCAAGATGTTCTCGGCTATCTTAAAGTCGCCGTACTGCGGTAAACTTTTCTCCAGGTTCCAGCACCAGCACCGGTTCATGTATCGAACGAACACCGCTCGCGCAAAGTCTACAAATATCGTGGAAATTATCGTGGATACCTGAAACACCATTTGAAACAAAGAGATTATAAGAAAAAAATACAAGAATAGTATATAATCATAACAAGATATAGTATCGCAGAATACTGTATGTATCGTTTTGGGGAAAACTGTATTTCCTATTCCTCTTTACACTTGCCTCCGCCAACATCACGCCAATTGGATGCTCCCTTTGTTAACATTTAATCGGTTTAGAGCAAAAAAATAGAACTTATATTTTAAAGAAATAAAATAAAATCGTAAGACGGGACGACGTGGCCGAATGGGTTAAGAAGACGATGTTTTATACGTTTACGTTCGCCAAATCGACTCCCAATCAAAAGCAGACTTGACAGTTATTTCAATTGACAAACAACAGTTTAATACCCGATAACCAGACCCTTCTCTAATCCAAATATATTTGATCAGCGTTTGTACTAATCTGTAAGCCCAACATAATTTATCAAAAACTTATCGCCTTAAGGTATATCTAGTAGGGAAATTCAGACGACATAAAGAGAAAACATAGCAACGATATTTTTAAAGTATAAGAATTTTAACACACAAACATAAATTTTAATATTTAAAAAATTGATAACTCAAAAAAACATATTGTATAAGTTATTTATAAAAAGTTAGCTTTACAAAGCAAAAATAAGAGACATAAATTTGCCAAATTTGTTAAATTTACATTTTAATATAACCAATAAGTAAATGCTACAATGTGTAATCACAAAAGCAATTAATAAAAAACAAATTTAATAAATTTGTGAACCCAAAACGAACAATATATAATTCACATTGTTTGAAATTTCGCTCGCTAAAAAATAGTAATTATATTCAATAAACTATTTATAAAAACATAAAAATAGTATGTTTGATTTAATTGAACACTTTATATAATTATTATTATTTATTGTTTATGAAATGTGTAAACTTTTATAATATATTTTTCTAATTTTTTAGATTTTTCAAATTATTAATATTAGTAGTAATATTAAAATTCTATCATTCCTTTTGGATAATAAATAGTATTGCGACAATAATAAACACTTACTAAATCCATAACGGTTAGTTTCACAAGCTCTTGTCCGAACATAGTTTCCCAACATAGTTTTCGTAACTTGTGTCTAGTCGGTAGATCTAAGCACTCGGCTTGTAAAGATAGGTCTTCTCGAGGTGCATCTTCGTGGTCAATAGTTGTTGAAAAAATTGTATCATCTAAAAATTAGATGTATTAGTGATTTGCCTCAGCTTATAAACTAGACGTTAAAATAAATAGCCCTAAAATACCAACTATGTTTCTACTAATTCACTTATTTTTCACTCTTCAAAATTTACATACCATTTGTATAATATGTTATCTCTAATTTTTTTCTACTGTTGACCCATTTCTTAATCTACTTTTTATTACACAAGAAAGCCTAAGTACAAATACCTCGTTTAGAAGTTGCGCCGATATTTTATGATACTAATTTTTAATTTTATCTAACCGATTTATTTTTCTCCGACGTCTGTTTCCATTGCTCTATTGAGTACATTATTAAATATAAAAATATCTACACTCACTGGAAATCGTTATTTTTTAGCTCTCTAGGCAAAAGAGTTGAGTTTACCTCTATAAAAATGCACATGAAAAATATTTTTCTGTAACATTATAAGACGTGTTAGTATTGACATTAAGACTTATCTTACTTGACATCTTGTCGCCACCTTGGTAGGTCGTTGGCGGCTCGGATGAGTTTAAATGCAGTGGCCGCGCTTGGCAAACTTCTCGATAACAATGGGTGCCATTGAACACGGTTTCGGCCGAACGCTTCCTCCTATCGTTCGGCGTTGCAGTTTCTTCGGTGTCATTGTCTAAATCGTCATACGATTGGGCATATGGATCTACTGCAGGCCAATCCGGTTCGTCGGTCGCGTCCCAGTCGGACGTTAAATAGTCTGTCGTCGCTTCCGAAGAGGTGAACTCCACTGAAGTGGTACTCTCTGAGGTCGAACTCAATTCCGTGTGATCCGATGAGGCCCATTCCATCGTAGATCCGCCACTCTCGCCCGTGTCTTTCGACCAAGTGGAAGGATACGCATCGACGGTTATCTGCAAATCGTCCACGTTTTCGTAAATTTGCTGCTCGGTGGTCGACTCGACAGTCAAGTTGGCCAACCAATCGGTCGCCCATCGACTAGAATTATTGTCGGTTGACTGTGCTGATGTAGTGTAGGCAAAATGGACTGGCGTTCCATCGGTCATTTGCTTGTTGGTCAAGGCAGTGGCGATCGATGTGGTTGTAGTTGCTGTTGTCAAGTCGATCTTGGTGGGTTTGAGCGTGGCTTGAGTGTGATTATGAGTCATCGCAGGTATGGAAAATGGACATTCGATGATTATCCGATGACAAGCAACGGCATTGTGGTTGGACAGACCCGCGATTGGAGCAAAAGTGGTAGTCGTAGGACTCAGCAGCGCCATAGACAGTAGCATCGATGGCTTGGGCATTTTCGGCAGAGACGTAGCGGTCATCACGTCTGTTATGTTCGGTTTTAGTTTTAACAGATCGTTTGTCTGTGAACAATAGTTGTAATTTTAATCGGTTGTCTCGTCTATATGAAATTATTGGCTGCGCCCGACCCTAATTTAGATCAATGTCCTTAGTAACCAGCACCGTGCCATTTAACATTTTTCAATTTAAGATAATAAAAATACATTCTTTATTCTTATCAAAACATACAATATTATTGTACTAGTATCAATACTGCATTTTCGTACCAACAATATTACGGTCAAACCATATTCTAAGTTATGAAAGTATATTAAATACTTTATTATAGCAAACACGTGATATTTTCAATCACAAACTACGCAGTAATTTTTCCTAAATAAATTAAAAACGGGACTACCCCAATTTAATACTGTAACACTATAGCTAAATAAGTAATAACTAATATGGGTTAAATTCGTCAAAATACGCCATTCTAATTTTTGAGTGTTAAGACAGCTAAAAAACAAAACTAAAACCGTCAGTTTGAATGTAAATAAATGAAAAAATAAGAGTTTTAATCATTAGCTATAAGAAGCTTTTAAGTTATAACTTAAAAATGTAAAATGGTGAACAAGAATGAAAATGAATTGCCAGAAAATGCTAAAGTATGTTAAATTGATTTATAATTTAAGATGGTTTAATAGAAACTGCGGTATTTGGTGAAAAACTAAACAACGACCTTTTTTATTTTTTATGATGATATCCATCATCAGCTATAGATGCGGTTAAAAGGTCTCGGAAACTTTTAGAACGAATAAATAACCGCATACAAATATAAAAGTTATGACCAACACAGCGTCTCAGCTCCAATATTAAACTTCAATGTGAGGCTTAAAGTAAAAATTACCTTTCTAATATAATCCCAATAAGTCTTGTTTATGGTTTCTACTTAAAATACCCTTGTTTTGCTTACGAATTTGTTAAAACAAAACTGTATCTAATTATTTACCAACGTATAATTAGTAATAATTCAGACCCACGCATTATACGACCACAAAAATTGTTGTATGTCAGTAAAAATAAAATTTATTTTATTTTATATATTGCGAACAATTTCAACAAAAATGTATATTCGTTTTTTGACGCTACTAGATTTTATCCTAAACGACCCTCGAATTTTTCAAAAACACTATTAATATCTGTCTAGCATATTCATTTTTTTTTTTTATCATCTCTTTTTAGACCGTCATATTATCTACTATTTTCCACGTCTATTTCCATGACGAATCCTTAATAAGGGCTCCACATGATTATTCTTTATAATATGATAAAACCCACTCATCCTTCTTACTACCGACTTATTTGCGTTGTAAGCGTCTCTCCGGCTTACTACTTGCGTATTCGGATTCAGATGCATATTTTACATTTATCTCATTTGTAACAAAAAGGACTTATACGGTAAAATTGTTCAAACGCACTTCTTATTTTATCTATCAACGTTGAGCATTGAGCGATTACAGGAGATGAATAATCTGGATCATTTATTTTTCTATGCTACCTTTATGTCAGCTCGTCGATTAACAACAAAACAAAAAATATATTAGATCTTGGAAAATTAGAATACTATCCGCGCAGTTGAAAAATTAATCATTTTAAACTTCCAACAATAACTCATACAAACTACTAGTCTAATAATTAATATAATCTTCCTAATGACGCGACGTACAAATTTTTATATCATTATTCTTTTTATTGTACGATAATTTTCAGTTGAAAATTCATTAGAGTAGTGTATAGTAGTGTATAAAATATATATAAAAATGTTGCACACTTTAAAACAGTTGTTTAAATTATCAAACGCATAGGATGCATCCACACGTTTTCCACTGGGATACTAGCTAATGCACTTGATGTACAAAAAATTATGCATTAAAAATATACTCACCATGTCGTTGATTTTTACAAACAAGGCGAACGTCAGCGTATACAAATTTAATAAATTCAACGCCATTATCCTGAAACATTTCAAATACAGTATAATGCGGTGGGAATAACTAAAATATATAATGATTACACAGTGTAACGCATTAAGCCGGATTTCATAAAGTTTTTAACTGTAAAAAAAACGGCCAATAGACTTACACAAACGCCGTAGATCAGTTTTGCCATTTGATGGCCTGGAAAAGAACGTAAAATGTGCAAAAGCGAAAATGGGTGAAGTGAAATATATGAAACACACCTTTAATGAAAAAAGAGTGATATATAAGAAAGTTTCAAGACGCTCTAAAGACGATTCTCGGAAATCTGAAAATATAACCCCCAGGAACTTATTCATATTCCTTATAAATGCAGCGGCATAAAGGACAATAGTAAATTTCATTATCATCGTGACTTTATCGGAGGCTACACTGTTAAATGTTAAAATAGGGAGTTGAAGTGGTTCGAGCAATGAAATATTTCATATTAGGTTAGGAAGAAATTAGTCTTTTTTTCTTGTTTCACATATTTTCATAGAAAATAGAATTAGGCGAAATTTAAACTAGGTCGGTTGGAATTACACCATTCAGCTGACTGATAACCAAGTTGAAGACATGGCAACTAGGAAGCTATTTGTTTTTTAAAAATGATAAATGGAGTCTGATGTAGTTCCTTGGATAGATGCGTTTTGTGACTGAGAGGTAAACCGCCAGCTTTGCAAAACTACCGCGTTTTATGACTCGGCTACTGGGACTCCTATTAAAAAATCAATATACTTCCCATAAATCTAAAGATATATTAAAAAATAAATCTTAGATAAAGAATAAAGGTCGACATAAATTCCACACTAAACGTTAAAATTTATCGTAGAAAAGCTAAGCCTATAAATTACTTTTTGTACATAAAACGATGAAAATATTAATCAGCTCTTACATTAAATAACGTGAGAGCATAAGACAGAAAAGATATATTTATTATCTTCTTGCCATTTTTGCGGTCTTATGAAAATCATTATAAACGACAAAATGTCAAAATTTATTTAACTTACGAATGTCAAAACATCGTTTAAAACATATAAATTTTAAAGCAAATTGAGTTGCTTTTGTTTAAAATAAGTTATGAAATGTTATTTAGTGTTTGGCACTTAAAAACCGCGTACAACATTAAAATATCAACATCAAATTTTGCAAAGAGTTGGACTGCACTGTTAATATTTTTGTCTGCTGAACTTTCCTAAAAAAACCTATATTGACAATATAAAAAGTTATATTTCTTATTGGCAAACTTAAATGCATGTTTATAGGATATTCTTAGAAGTTCTGGACTTTCAGTATTTTATGAACATCACTAGCTCTACTTAAGGCAAATCAATTTCTACCTGGCCAACTGTACGCGGAGTGTGGTTCTCGGGTGATAACTTTCAAGCACGCCCAAGCCTTCGAAGGCGATCGGAAAGAACGTGCCTATGAGCGTCATGACGACGGTGATTTCGTTTTTCCTCCATAAAGTAGACTCAGCCTCTGGTTCCGTAGACCTTTCTACCACCAATATGACGGCGTACACCGAACTGCCCAGCATCCATATCATGTTAAGGTTGGCGAATATTCTTAACACCACCACCTTCCAACTGTACCGTGTACAACAAAACATTAAAATTGGCAATAATTCAGCTAGCTTTAGGTTACAAGCAACGTTGGAAATTATCTAGATAGTTTTATTTATATAAAAATGCTTTAACTATAATCTTATCTATAAAAAAAAACATAGGATCATCTTATTATCTTTCTAGATATATAAAACGGTTATCTGAAACTATTTATCTAGATAGAAAATTACAATGTAATTATTTCGTCGTTGCCGCGAAAAAAACTTCTATGTGTTTAAACCTAATTGTTGGGAGACACTAAAAAGATTTATAGAAGGTAACACATAGGAGGTTTTATTTTTTATTTCATTTATTCTACAATAGAGATAGCACGTTGGAGATTTTATCATATGATAGCTTATTTTTTTCTGTATCCAGTAATAATAAAACCTCAAAATCGTAAAACTGGAGGTTTTTTTAAGGCAACGACGATTTGCTAATTTGATTGATCAAATCAAGAAATGTTCAAATCAAATCAAAAACAAAGGTGTATTTTTTATAAAATATATTTTATGTAAGTAAAAATGTAATTTATCTAAATTATAGATAATTTCTTAATTATTTTCGTCAGCGATATTGAATAAATATTATAAAATATTTGTAAATGAGTCGTACTACCTACAGTTTTTTTAATGTTAATTTTTCACCAAACGGGACCGTGGATTAAAAAAATGATACGCAGCGAACGTGTTAAATTGATACTACAATTAAATCTGATCAGCTATTGCTATTACTTTTGGTTGTCTTTCATCCGTTCGGCCTCCTCGAGTAGCGCTTCCTTAAAGCCCAGAATGATGGACGATATTCGGTTGTGCGCAGTCTCCTCGTTACCGATCATGTAGTCCCACCCGGTAAACAGCTTCCACGTGAAAATGCACTCGTCGTCTTTCTCGGACAGTTTGCTCAGCCTGGAGTTGGCTGCCATTCTATGGTCATTTAAAAACATCAATTAAATATCATATTATACCGCATGCAGCCAATCGTTTACGGTTTTCTTCTACGAACTTCCTTAGAGTGGCCACGAAGCTGTAGATATAGACGACAAGACCGACAATGAAATAGGCAGTAGGCAGTCTATAACCTGTGTCCGAACTCTGACGGTTCGAATAGTACCCATAAAACATGGGCGAGTGCTGTAACACCCCTTCGAAATTGAGCAGGGTCATCAGAGCCATGGACGTGGCTTCCTCCTGGGGCAAGAGCGTCTTCCGATCGCCCGTATCCGTTTTGCTTGTCATCAACACCTACGAGAAATTTCTCAAAATCAAATACCGATTAAAGATCGGCCCGAAAGGAGTTGGCATACTTCGGGCATGACTACAAAGGCAGCCAACAGTACGGATATGACGAAGTTCACCCAGAACAGCCATCGAAGGAACGTGAAGTATGACGCGACCACTGTGCCGAACTGCGATTCGATCTCCTTGATTGTCAACTCCCAAGGAATCAGCTGACTTACGAAATTGGACATCTCCCGTTTGCTGTGCTGCCATTGCTGCAAAATACGAACGACCCGTTAATCCCGCCATGGCAGATTGTGGTGGTCAGTTGACGGTTTAATACTTTGACGACGAGTATATGAAACCTAGCCAACATGTCTCTCGTGCTTTTGCTCATGGCCAAACGTTCTTGTAGCTGACCCTCGTGTTTCTTCACGTACTCCTTGGCCTGCTGGACCAATTTCATTTTCCGCCGAATCGACCATGGCTGTTGTCGAACACTACTCAACACTTCTTTGTGTAGCCGGATGTTCTCGAATATTTGTTCTTGGGAAATACCCGCGTCTTCGATAATGATCGCCGTACTAAAAAAAAACACACAGTACTTGACATATTTTAAAACTCACAATCCTGACGGACTTACAGTTAATCTATCGAAACTATGATAAAAGATACATATTTTTTATATTTTTCTCGACGTGTCATACTTAAATAATTATCGACTATACAAGCAAATATTTACTATACAGAGTGATCAAAACATTGGGAAGATGTATTCGTTTAAAAACTACAATAATCTTTCAAACTAATTTAAACACACCTGATAAAACTATATTAGGAATGATGATGGGTTATTGTATAAACTATAGTAATACGATACGTTTATATCAAAACTTAGTATAATTGTATCGTACCTTACATTATATTTGTTTACATATTAATGATTTATGGCATTTTTACTATTAAAAAATAAAATATGGAAACGCTCAGTTATAGTCTCTACTTTTTGAAATACAATGAAAAAAAATGCACACTTTCATTTTCTCCGTTCGTGTCACACATATACATGCCATGTACTCAGAACCGTACATAATCATATTGCATAAGTCATAACCACTAAAACAATTTTTAAGTTATTTTGACCATTATTTTCTAAAACTTACTCTCCCGAGCTGGTGGTAAAAGCAGATGACCTTCGACGATCTGACAGCAGACTAGCGTCATCGGGCAACATTGACGACACTGGAGAAGATGATCTCCTTTGTCTAGGGTGCTTACCTTTACGGGAATTGAGCCGTTTATGAAGTATGGCATTGACACTGGCCGAGTAATCTTCGTCGTTCTCTATAATTAAAACAATTTAAAAATAATATAACTATGTATCTTGGTTCCAAAAAAAAAACAATCCAACGACTTTTGAAAAAATGAAATAATTTTCATAAATGTCAATGTCTTAAAAGTCACGGACGTTAGCGAGATTGTATTTAGTATTTCGTCCAACCCTTTAGGAATCACCTTGGTGTCTGTCGGTCTGTTTTACAGGCGTTCGAAATTCATGTCTCTAGTTGGGCTACTACTTACTACAACTGTTGGTTGTTAGAACAACAATCGTAACACGGTCATTTTATTTTGGTGACATAATATGAAATCAGATAAAATTAATAAGAACTTTTGTGGTAAAAGAAAAATACATTAAATTGACCTTAATAACTCAAAATACTAAGCACTCGTATGACCTAGATCTGATGCCCTAGATGAAATGGATTCGCTTTTTTTTTAGTTTGAATCTATTATAGTATATTACTCACCATCCGAGTGCGTTCGGCTGGCCGAGAAGCGGACTTTTTCGATGGAGTGTCCTCTGCTGATGCTCATGTTGTCGTCGAAAAACTCAACACCCGATGGATCGCGTAAACCGGGCGACGTGGGTGGTACCTATAAATTGAATTTAACATTAAGCACACGGCTACACTACCTACACGTGAGTGAGTGCGTTTATGTGTGCATAGGGCATTTCGGAAGGTTCGTTTTGTGTGAAATCGCGTGCAACGTCCTCTAACATAATAATTGACGGTTGTTCCACGACCATTAAGCAGATTAAACACCTCCGGCTGGGAATCCCTCCCCTAGAGTTAATGAAACGTTACTCGAAACAACGTATGGCTCCCCCCGTGGAATTCGTGCTACCCCGTAGATTTAACGAACGCAATCAACAGCTCTTACTGGATCCCAAGGTGCTTATAAGGCGTTCATTTACAATTATTTCTCATAAACCCTTCAGATAGTAAATCATAAAACAACATGCATATTATACGGTCTGCGAAATCGCACCTTAACGGTACTCAGAAGCTCATCGCCAACTACCTTCCCACCTGCCATGCCGATTTCAACATTTTTTCATTCCACATAATGATAATACCGAAATAACGATCCAACACACTTTCACGGTTTACCTATTAATTGCAATTATTTAGACTTTTTTAAATTAAAACTCCACCTAATAATATTCAAATACTTTATAGCCAAAAGTGAAATCTTAAGAATCGTGTTCACTAATCTTCAACAAACCAATGTAAACTGTGTTCTTTAAAAATTAACTTAGGAAGCCTTTGAAATTTGAGTCCATCAGTTGCAAAATGTCGTATATCGTAAAATGGTTTTTGCCATTTTATTGTATTTCACTATGGTCATTTATTCAAATCTCAAATTTCAAAACACAGTATGATTTATTTAATTTTTAATTCTAAAATTAATAGTTTTATTACAGTATGTAGTAAAAATTGCGTTTTACTATTTCTTCGTACATAAGACCTTTTGCACTCATATTCGGGTTGGGTTTCTGATGAATTTTCCCAGACAGAATATGATATGCACAAAATGTTATTGTAGATGAAATAAAACTATCGGACATTTTATTCAGTGATAATTGTATTCAGAATAATTAATATAGGGAAAAAATCAGATTTGTACACCGACATCTATGAAGTATGTACCAATGTATTTTTAATTATTTTGTATAATACCAACCAATGTATTTCAACCAAAACTAATTATCCTACTCAGACCAAACCATAATGTATTGTCCAAAATACCAGGTCACTGGGAACAGTGTACACAATAACCTAGTTTTGATTTTGTCCATAACGTATACTTAATTTGTATTAGAAACAAGCGTAAACAACTAACTAAAATAAGAGCATTTCATTGCTATATTTAAAAGTAGGTTCATTATAGAAAAAAATATAATAAAAAATTACTGAAATATTGTGCTTCAAATCAACATAAATTAACACTACAACTTTTATACATCAGTTAAAATATTAAACAAAATACTACTTTGACACTAGAGACCAAAAATTCGTGCATTTATAAAAATGTTGCATGGTCTTAGCAATTTATAATATTTTTTTAACGAAATGCTTTTTTTATTTCCTATCTTTTATTTTTACCTACTTTAACTTGATATTAACTACTAACCAAAAACACTCATCACAATAACTTTATAGATAATGATTTTTTTTTTCTAATAAACATTTTTTCTTATTTAAACGTTTAATGTTAATTAAAAAAATAGAAATAAAAAAAGTATTATCGACAATCAGCAATATCAGATAACTTTTACTCACATTTATAGACACCTGTTGTTTTTTGTTATTCACTTATCAGCTATATACAAGATACATTTGTAGCGTTTGCGGATAAGTCTAACTTGGTCTACAATCACAGTAGAAATAAAATGTAGATGGTCATGTGTTGTACCTATGTTGTACGATGGTCATGCCACACCCACAATAATAGCAACAAAGAGCCATATTATGGGAATAGTGACAACGACATTAATTTGTACCGCAGACTTCTCACGCAATACTTTACAAATCGAGTGATAGGGTAAAAGCAACAATTTTCATTATTTTCAATTAACTTATAATCAAAATAGCGACTTTTAATGTCGTTTATCATTTAAAATATCTGATCCGAACATGTACCATTCTAAAAGTTATAACAATGTGCCATAATTTTTGTTAGGTAGTCCTAAGTATACGATCAAATGAACGTAGTCTTGTAGTTATTAATCCGTTTATTTATATAACATAATATATAATTTAATTTATAATTGTATGTATTAATAATATATAATTTACAATAAAAGGCACATAAAGTAATTTTCAAGTTCCATCAATACAAAATAATAGTAAGATTTTTATCGCTTTAAAAATATTTTTGGTTATATGTTTTGCAGTAGGTACTTTTTAAGTATTAAAGACTATGCAGTTATTAATTTTTTCATGAGTCAAGTACATAAATTAAAATAAAAACTCGGACTTTTAAGTCTAAGCTATAACAAACAAATTAACAATAACAATTCCAATACATTTTGTTGCAGCGATAAAACTCTTCAATTTTAATTTATTTCTAGCAAATTTGAGTTGGTAACTGGACTAGCAAAAATGTAAAAACAAAATATATGATTTATATCTTTATTAACATCCGTTTAGAACATATAGGACTCAATAAAAATCCAGTATTATTAATTAATTATACTGGATTTCTATTCATTATCAAGATCTAACATCTCACTTTTTACAATTGGTATTTTTTTTGTAAACTTTTTAACAGCAATTACATAAAACTAAATAATATTATAATGTTATTAATAATTTACATTGTATTAATTTCCACTAATTATATATATATATATATATATATAATATAATATAAATTATAAATAAAAAAAACTAACCCGTAGTATAAAAAAAAGATCAAACTCACAGCTCATTAACATTTTACAGGACAATAATTCAGATGACTATTTTATGTTTTAGACACCACTAAACATTTAAGTATTCAATAAACTTTTAATGGCCCGATGCACAGCCCATACCATGCCTGTTTTTCAAACAGAAATCGAAATATCTCCTCTAAAACGAAATTTACGCAAGAAATTAGAAACTGTTTTTATAAATACTTCGATTGCTTTAAGGATATTTTGTACACTACCAATGACAGTCTCCGAAGCAGAAAGAGCTTTTAGTAAATTAGGAAATCAGCTTAAGACTTGGCAGAGGGCTTCAATAGGCCAAGAACGACTTAATTCCCTTGCACTTTTATCAATTGAAAACAAACTTGCATCAAAAATTAATTTTGATGATATTATACATGATTTTGCCAAAAAAAAAAGCGAGAAAAAAATATTTAATTAATATAAAATGTATGTTTAAAACTAAATGACGATATGTATTAAAATAAAAAGGTATACAAAGCATCTATGTATCTAAATTATTTACAATATACAAAGATACGTAGAGTTATTTTTATCTGCGCGCTTTCTCTACCCACTCCACCTCCCATCCTACCCTTTAACCTTTAGTAACTTAAAAAGTAATTATCCAAATCTAGTTATCGACCAGTCACATTTTTCACAAATTATTCGTAATAAAATAGCTATCTTGAATTTTTTTTTTAAATGTAACAAAAAAAATAGTTTAAAAAAGTAAAATAGTTAAGTGTAATAAAAAACGTGGTGCTTATAGCGCAAATGAGTATAAATTACTTTTTTTAAAAATATTAAAAATATTCACTACAACAAAAGTTATTTCATTTGTCGAATCATTGTGGAACACCCTGTATATATATATATATATATATTAATATATTACACAATTTGGTTTGCATGGTAAACCGCTTCCACGCAGTGCAAACCGGACAATGTGTTAGACGGCTAAAGGTTTACTACCCTCGACCATCCGTACTGTTCTCACGAATTTCACGGATTTACACACACTAACAATGCAACCCCCCCCCCCAAAAAAAAAGCCCTCCCCACAATGCGACTGTGGACATCAAATCCAATCCTCAAGACATATAGTAGAAGAATGTCCAATCAGATCATTCCAAGGGGGACTGGCAGAACTCAACAAAGTTACCACAGACGCAATTAAATGGCTTGAAGACTTGATATATTTATATATCACCCCCCTATTTAACAACCTATGTTACCCATCTAGAGTATTATGTTATTGTACTTCTAATATCTAAATGTTAAATTCTGTTTTTCAATTATTTATGTTTTTTTTTTTTTGTTATTTCTCTACATATCCCAAATCATTTCATAATTTATAATTTTCATAGTTTATTTTGTATTGTTTATGTGTGTTAATAACGTCATACGAATAAATAAATAAATTATAAAATAATAATATTAATACTAATACTTGACTAAATTAAATTGAAAAATTTAATAATATTTAATTTTACCTGTAAAGAAGCCTGTAATATAGAAAAAAATACTACAAAACCGCTGATAAAATAAATCACAAAAATATGTTTTTCTTGGCATTATAAATTTAAAACATGGTACGTTGAAAAGTTTGTGTGCGTCAGATTTGTTAATAAATTATATTTTATCAAAAATGTCTATTATACTGTTGTTTCTTGTCATATAAAATTTGAAGACGGTTTGAAAGACGTCAAGAACAGTAATGCCCAAATTAATTCATTCAGTGGAAACAATTTGACAACCGTTTGTGAAGTTAGTAAATATTGTGTTGGAGTTGAGTCAAATACATATATGTGTAAAAGACAATAAAAATCTAAAACCTGTAATATAAGCATAAAACATAGCTAAAAAATTAAGCTATTTTAGATCGGTATGTTTATAGAATAACAAAATAAAACAGGAACTAAACGGTAAAAAATATTTATTCCATTCTTATAGATTCAATAATCTTGCATTGTCATACAATGAAATACAAAATTACTGGTTCAAACACAGAAATTAATAACGTTGTATATTTTATTCTGTTCCAAAACATAACAAAGAACAAAATAAAAAAAAGGTTTTTGATGTAACAAATAATTCATTATTACTATTCGTTTTTATTATTATTGTTTTTTTAATATGTATTATTTAATAATAAAATTTACCATCAGGTGTA